TTTTCAACATAAACATTTTGTACTCTTTATTTACATTACTAGATAATCTGTAGTCTATGAACAATTTATTATCACCTTCCCTTCCTAATATTAGGTGTATCAACAATGTCACTCTACCTGGTTTCATGCTTTGTTCATATTTATTCACAGACAAGACCATTTGATGCTCAGAGATAAATTCCCAGAGACAAATTCAAACCACTCCCTTGGCTTCTACCTAAATTTTAGCATATTAGTGTCTGAAAGCACACTTTCTAAAATATAGTTCAAAATACTGTCATTTCCTTTCAAAATGCACGAGTCCTCTTAGGTGAGAGGTCCCCTAGACACAGATACTGTTTTACATGACCTTCTGTATACTTGCAAAGATATGAAATGATAACCATAATAAAGAACATGACAGAAAAAAGAAAACAAACCTAATTTAAAGCAACTGAATAAATTCTACAGCTCTTAATATTATCTCATCTGATTCCAACAAATTTTGTTTAACATATGTTATTTTTGATACAATAATATACACACTTGAATGACTGGGTAAGTCATGAATGATGGTACGAATTTCTACTGGGTTTGTACCATGTTTTTAAATCTCTACATATTAAACATCTGAAACTCAAGGGCTTCGTATGATTTAAGACAGTTTTGGAAAAATTTTGAGTCATTTACATTTGTGATAGACACTAATGGGCCAACAAGTGTCTTTAATCTACAGTATCATGCAATATAAATCACAGCTTTAGGGCTTCTAAACATGCTGCTTTTAAAAACTGAAATTGCTGATAAAACACTGCTAAATAATACTTAACAAGAGAGAGAGAAACACAAAGAGAAGCTATCTTAGTAGCGGTGATTAATTTTCTTTCTTGAAAGTGCAAGACAGATAAAGTCTTCAGATGAGTATGTGTGTGTGGAGAGTGGGGGAAGGGATGGGTATGGTTATTTTTTTTTTCCACAGGTAGGCAAAATATTGCACTGCAGAAAATCACTTAAAATTACTGCCACCATTAAGTTTATAAAAAGTATAATTTTATAGCTATAATTAGTACCCAGGGTTCTCCGTCTTCCACTAGAAACTGGATGATCCACAAATAGAAAACTAAAATTAAAAGTTAAAGGTCGCTTATTTTCCCTCTGTAGTTGCTTAGGCCACCTTAGGAGACAATATAGTCACACAGCTTTGATCTTATCCAGCACACAATGTATTACCATTATCCTGAAAGTTTATACATATTTTCTCTGAACCATTGCATTTATCTCAACTCCTGTTGAAGACAACCTATTCAAATAGTCCTGTGAGTGAGTCTGAGCATTTAGCAAAAAAGTATTGATAATTTTTCTGGTAATGTTACTTTCTTCAATTAAGGTGTTCAATAATGTTCTTAAATGAAAAAAAAAAATCTGAAAACTAGAACGAAACAGCTGCAGAAAGAAAAGCACTTCACTGGATAGTCATGGAAGAGTAAAAGTTATGCAATCAGGAGGTTATTATTAATGAAATGGAATCAACTTGGAGAGAGATTCTCCCACATTTTCTCCCCAAAAGAGAGAAAACTTTACAAATAAGATTGGAAAGTAACCAAGATCCATTATGCTTCCTAGAAGTATTGCAATTTTAGTCACCTAGACATACCTGTTCACAAATGAAGGACCCAGCTACTGCCTATGTAAATTAAGGGGTATAACCTTTGAAGTAAATAATGTAATAAAGCAGTAATATCACTCACCAGCTGAAACACTCTCTAAGACAATTTTCTATGTTTGCTTAAATACACTAATGTTAAGAAGTTTTTCTCTCCACCTCTTTATGATTTTAGGATACGTAAACCAGTCAAAAAATCTAAACCTAAACTAGTTTACACTATCATTGGATAGAGAAACCAAATTATTTATGTACAGGGGAATGTTAGAGAAGATTTGCACACATTACAGAGGAAAAGAGATCTGAAAGCACACTCAAACATCACATCATCCAAATTACCAAAGCACTAGCAAATACAAGAAACATCAAGAGAAAAATAATTTTAACTTAATTTGAGAAACCTTAGTTGTGTTCCCCCTCCAACCTCTTCCCCAAAGACATCACAAAAGGGGTTATTATTACATTGTTTATCTTCTGCTTATGTTTTAGAGAACTTTAAAGGCTAAAGCAGTTAAAGCTCTATCTAGATGTGCTGTTTTCTCACAAATAATTTAATTCAGATCAATACTCTTGTTTATAAGCACTCCAAGTCAGCAGAACACTTCCATATGTACTTTTATTATGCTCAAGCACATGTTGACTCACAAATTTGATAAGCCTAAACAATTTTTTTAGCCACTAGATTTGTTCAAATTCTTCCCCTTAAAGGAAACCCTTAGCCTCTACCCTATTATGTTCCTTGAACTGATGTGCAGACAACATCTCTCCCTTTTATTGTCATATCTTCACTGCCTTTAACAACACAGCTTGTCAAGTCCGAATAAGAATTTATGGAATTTATGTGAATAAAAGGAATATTATTCTATGTTCTGAGAAATCCTAATAAAACCAAAGCAGATAGCCTCTTTTTCTCCAGTCCACGATTACAGAGTTGTGATACCTCAATCTGTGATTACAGAGCTGTAATACAGCTGAAGGCCTCATCTTAGACAGACCTCCCCATTGACTTTCTGAGGCAGAAGCGTCATAAAAAGAATTTTACTCAAGATTTCTCATTGACTTTTCTTAGAGCACACAGATCAAAAAACACATCAAAGATGTGTTTGTCAGAGCCACAGTGAAACAATACCCTGAAACTTATGCTTAAATTTATGTTTGCTGTCAGTCGTACTACTTTCAATTCACTTACACATGTTCTGAGACATACACATTCAACATTTTGACAGACAAGGGACCATCAAGAGGTGACTATAAACACAGTATTTCCTTTAAATTCACTCAGAGATTTAAATGCAGTATGAAAATATCCATAAACCTTTTGCCAGAGCCACAAATTTAAAACCAGATAATAACTTTAGAAACAGTTCTTTTGGGGAAAATTGAGCCATTATTGAAACTGTGGAGAAGGAATATTGATATGCTACAGTACAGTGTTTGTGGTTACCAGTAACATAACTATGCAAAGAAGCCTTACACTTTTCTTTGAATGTATTTAGTTATGACCATAGTTTGATTTCCTGGATGATAGACCTTAAAGTCTAATCAGAAAATATGAAGCAAAGTTACAGAACATCATCTTACTTGTATTTTTCTTACCCAGCTACTCTATTGATCATAGAGATAACACTGCTTTTGACTTACTGATATAAGAAGTCCGTATTTCCAGCAAAGAATATAAACAGAAAAGTAGCACTGAGCAGTACACCATCTGTCTTGCTTCAAATGAACACTACAGCACATAAATCAGTTAGAATCAGATTGTACTCTCTTGTGTTCAGATTCTAATAAACATTCATGACACAAACCAGTTATCTACACCGATGTGGGGTGAAGGATATCACCATTATCAAAATATCATAACCTTGAGTCTACTGTTTTTATAAAGACGTACAGATAGATCAAGTGGAACTATTTAATTTTGTAATCTTTAAAATGGAACATGGAGTCATTTATGACTACTAGAGTAATAAACTTTCTTTTTACAGAAAGATGATCCTTGGTGGTTTGCATTGCAGTATGCAGGTTTCTTATTGCAGTGCTTAAGTATTATTGAATGCGATTTGCCTGCATTAACATGAAAGAGTCCATCAAGATTTAATAGTGAGCATAAAAGGGGAAAATTAGACGTTAAACCTAATAACGAATCAATGTCCAAAGGAGGAAACACAAATATTTATCCATCATAACATCTCATTCTTCCACCAGCAACATCATCTCCTAGTCTTACTGTCTGCAGTAAAGCTGTCAAATAAATGGAATAAACTTTTCAACATTTTCATAAGAAAATCTTCTGTTAAACTAAAGACATTCTGAGTTTTTTCTTAGTGCTTAAGAATTTTCCAGGGTTTTTATTGTTCTCCCAGAGAAGATCGTAACATTGCTTTTAATGTATGAGTTAAGCTACATTTTTCAGGAAAAAATACTGAAAAGGAAAGTAGAAAAGAAATTTCGAGTCTGAGGATGATTTTGTTCTTTTGTTCATTTTCTTTCTCTCTTAGAACCCACCCTAAGCCTTTTCATATTCAAGAAAGACATACTCAAATTTGCTTTTTTCTTTAAAAGAATAACTTCTTCATCTGCATGTTATCAACAGATCTGAGCTATGGTTCGTCAGTGTGACAGCACTGAGTGGTATTACAACAAGAAAAACCTGGGGAAAATCTTGTGTGACTCTAGTCAGGGATTCTTTTCTATGTTCACAAAGAAATTGAAAAAAGATAATATAAAAAGGAAACTGCTCTGCTACAAGGCCACTACTAGATATGATCTTGTCTTCTTTTTAATTTGTTAAAGGTATAAGAATTAAATGGACCACTGAAATAAAAATTTTAGAGAATGGACCAGATGACAAGCTGCAACCTCTTAAATTCTATTCCAGTATAGTGGAATATGATACATTTGCATTATTGCAATATGAGTTTTACTCTTATGTGCTTAGTTTTTAAAATCCAGTGATTTTCAACTTGCTGTCCATGGGTCTTCTAAGTGTTTGTGAAAGGTAATAGAAAAAAAAAAAAAGTACGTTATGAACAACACTATGGTAATTCCAGGGCACATCCCTACATTGGGAAGGTTTTAGGTGTCCACAGGGTGAAACAATGGTTTTTAATCTTCCTTGAGGTCAAAGTTCCCTTTTGAGTAACAGCAAGACTACCTGAAGCAATTTAAATTAAAAAAAAAGAAAAAAAAAAGAAAAAAAAAAGATCTAAAGTTCAGACAAGCTCTCAAACTATAAAGCTAATATTGATTGTCTTTAAAATCATGAAAATGATGATTATTTCCTTTTCTATCTTACACATTCTGTGAAAACCTTAAATGTCAAAAATGAGATCCCAAAGAAACCCCAAACATATCTTACCGATGATAAAAAGAATTTCCACTGCAATGTCACTGACAGTTGTGCTTCGAGTTGTAGACAGCTCATCATGGCCAATAAAGCAAACATTGTAAGGTACAGTCACAGCAACATAAAACGTTGCCAGTAAAATAAGCCAGTCCCAGCCAGCTTTAAATGTGCTAAAATGCAACAGTATGAATTTGGATTTTTTTGCATCTGAAACTTTGTATTCTGGAAATGCTGGTTTATCTACAAAAACATTCTGAAAAGAGATAAAAAAATGAAATGAGACAAAACAATAATTTGATCATAGAGACGCATTTCTTCCAACTCAGCCATTAGGTTTTTTTTAAAAAAAACATAATGAAATATGACATACTCATATGCAGGCAAGAACTAATGCTATTTTTTTTCTAATGTAGTCCTCACAGTTACATAGACAGACAGTTCTGTAGATGGAGTAACTTTTGTGAATGTTGAGGCAGGAAGAGGATTAATAAGGAACAGATTAAATACACTAAGTAGGGAACTGAATCTGGTGAACTATTTCTTCCTCTCTTGGGTGAATTCTGACTGAAGAGCAATGTTTTTCTGCTGGACAGATTGGTTAAATCTTTGTATACGTGAGGACATAGTACTTCAAATACGAATAAACATACAGAAAGGAATAGATGCTGCTGAAGATAAAACATCCTTCCTATAACTGTTTTAGAGCTGTAAGGAGGGTGTTTCAGACTAACTCTAGCCTGGTCCTGCGGACTGAGCAGCTGTTAATACTTGGAGCACCTCTACTAGTTTAGTTCCTGAGGGAATCTAATTCGTGTGCCTGAAACTGCTATGAACCAAAGCACAATTGGTAGAAATAACTTTTTGATTCTCTTTAAAATTTCACTCCTGTTCTAAACCAAAATACTAATATAGGTGCAGCATAACACGGCTCCAGAACGGACTACCTTCACTGTTAAGACTATATCTAGCTGGGTCATGTGTCTCGAGTCTTTGTCATCTAACCAGCAAAGGTCTTTGCAACAAAGACTTCAGTCTTAAGCATCAGTTTTATAAGTTCTTAGCTTTCACCTTTCAGAATTTTAACAAAAACACTTACCTTCCTGAAAAGCAGCATGTGGTACATGAACTGTCTTGTATTATTTACTAAAAAAATTCTTGCTCACTGTCATTGTGCTCCTGGTTAATTTTGTTCTAGTAATGAAGAGCATCACAAAACAATATTGTGTATTCAGCAAGCTAAGATAAATTCTGATCTTGAAGCTATTCATGATGAATATAAAAAGACAACAACTGCATGACTGCGGACTTAATTACATTTGCCTTGCCTGCCACAGACTTTCTCTTTGTGTGTTTCTTTTGAAATACTGATGTCCTTGCTTTCTCCATTCTTGGTTCTCATCCGTGAATCTTAGGGGCTGAATTCTCGTTGCTGTTAGCGTCAGCCCATTTTTAATCACAGAGAAGAAAATGTTCCTCTCATGACTTCCGATTCACGGCTTTAATTTTATGCACTAAAGGTAGTAAATTAATCTGAAAACAAATGTTTTAAACAAGAATAATATCACCTGCACTAGGATTTTGACAGTACAGAAAAGTCATCAAAAACTACTCCAAAGCCATATTCCTAAAAAACATTACTATACTATGAAAATATCACTGGAAGACCTGGTCATAGCTTGCAGATTTAAAAAAAAAATTTTGCACTTTTTCAACATTTAACATTTTGTAACATTTTTAGCTTTGTAAACCTTTTTTTAACATTTAAAATTTACATTAAATGGAAGTGTCTGTATGCTCTTTGAGGCATATACCAGCTGTGTATTTTCATGTCCTTCATCTATATCGTTTTTTCTGCTTCTAATTTGTAATGTAATAATGTCTAGGGGGATGTATCTGCACTGCTGCTTAATTTTGGCAGCCAATAAAAGGAAAATACCCAGCAGCAGATCACCTTTTCACAGTGTTCATAAACAACAAAAAAAACTACCCCAAAAAAACCACCTGACCATTTTCTTCCTGTGGCTATGTCAAATATTTTAGCTTTAAGATCCTAATGATATATAAACAAAAAACTAAATACTGTTCTGAGACTGTAAGAAAAGCTGTTTCTTTTTTTCTATGGCTGCTTCTAATAACTATAGGCTCTCACTGTTGGAACAGGCTCTTAGGTATTATTCTAGTAAGTTTTTATATGTACATACTGATTTCATACACATCTCTAGTTTTCAACTGCATTAATTTTTCTCCTGAAACATAGTTCAATAGAGCAGAAGAGTTATTCTTTCTCCTGAGCGTATTTCTTTAGAAGTCTTTCTGCTGCTATATTTCTGGTTTTGTCGATTGTTTGATTTGGTTTTTGCAAAATTCACAGGGTATTTATGAACTTACTTATTAGTTACAGTTACTAGGGGAACACAGAAGTAAAAAAAAGAAGAGCCATTACTGCTTCAATTAGTAAATTAAAAGACAAATTTACTCTGCACGAAGTTGGAGATATTCCATGAAAAGTTGTCTGAATGAAGTGTGACCTTTTGGAGCTTATACAGCATAGAGATTTTCAGCTAGAGTAATACCTTGAGTTTCTTCATTTTTTTTTGGCAAATAGTAATTATTTAAATAAAATAAATGGGACAGTAAAGCAAATTCAAATCTAAAATTGAGTTCTGAGAAATTTTATCATGTGGCTTCCCTGGGGTTAAGTAAATATCTGTTTACAGTATGGCTAAAAACACTCTCTTGCTATATGAAGTGTAACAGATACCATAGTAGGCAGAACTGAACTTAAGTGAACTGCACTTTACTACTTTTGTTACAGTAAAATTATGACTAGGACATTTCTCGGGTACTCACAGACCTTTTACAGCACTTAAAAAAAAAGACAGTACAAAGAGTACATTTTTGAAAAAGAGAAGAATTACACCTACATTATTAATTTTTAATTTGTTCTTTTCTCTTCTTTGTAGATGTCCAGAAATATGATAAAGGACAGCTCTACTCCGTCTTCGCGCTGATTCAAAATGTGACCCTGCTCTTCCTCTTCCTTTCCATTTTTCTGCAGAACAGAAGTGAGAGTCCATTAAACATCAGGAAATGGCACTTTAACCTTTGGGAGCTGAACTACTGACATTTGAGACTTCAGTAGAAATAGGGCTAGTTGTAGAAATTATATACACCTTTTCTTAGTTTTGCTCAATTTGCAGTTAAGAAAATAAAATCCTTCTCTTGAAGGGCAAATAAAAAATCACTATGAATTTTTTACTGTCAAATGTCTTCACACAACTCAGAAGCAATTAATTACAACATGTGATTTCATAGAGAAGAAAAATGTACTCTTTACTGTTTCAGAAAATTAAATAGTAATTACTGACCAGAGCAAAGCATGGCTAGGAGTAATTACTAAAAGTGTCCTTAAGGTGTTCCTACCCTCTCTTATTTCAGGGAAAGACCAAAAAAACCTCTTGTGGTGTACTTTTTAAAAACAAAGAATTTGACTCGTATTAGGCTTTCATTATGTCAGAATATGCTAATTTGCAAGCTTGCTCATTAGTAATATCCAATTCTTATATTCAAGTGTTCAGATTTCTTTTCCCACCACATGGTCACGGGCATAATCACTCAACACATTCCCTGGTGACATGAAATCCGTTAAGAGTAAAGACTGAACACTGTTTTGGAAAGATTTGTGGGTTTTCCCTCCATTCAGATGTCTGTAATTGTCAATCATGGGATAAAATTTTGTTCTTTCTTATAAGCAGTACATTCAAAGTAACTCCAGTGACTCTGATGGAATTACAGTGAATTGATGCCAGAGTAAATGAAAGCAGACATTTTGTGATGTGTTAGGATTAAGAAAAAGGGAATGATGGGAATAAAGGAAGAAGCTGTCTGTCAAACAGGTTTAATTAAAGTCAAGTCAACGCATACAAATTAATGGGGGG